ATCGACTGGTCTTCCTTATTACTTCCAGTTTCGCCCCAAGGAATCAGGACAAAGTCAGACTCTCGGTCCGAAGCCTGCGCAACGACTGTCTGGGCATAAGAGTCTTCGGGGGCGATAACCACGTTACCTGATACTGCCACATCGTGCAGTCGAGAGAATGTTCGGAATGCATTCACTACTGGATCGCGTCGAGAATACTCGTCACTCTCAGAAACCTTCATGACGGACGACGTACGCTCAGTAAGCTCAAGCAACCGTAGAGCGTGAACTTCGAGGGGCCGTCTCCGAATAATCGGAATCGGAGTATTAACGGCATCATCGCCGGCCTCAGCTTTTGGTACTTCCTCCGGACTTGGTGTGACTTTCTCGTCGCCTAGAAGAGATATGAATGTGAAGAGACTCGGAAGACTATCCAGGCGAAGATAGATCAGGAGGCGACGAATTCTAAATTCTCCTAAGTGAGAAACATAATCAGATTGACTTGAGTTCTTGGGCTCGAGCGGGTTGCCATCCCAATCAATCTCGCCACGTTTCCATTGCTCGAGCTTCTTTTGGTACCATGGAGGATATAGCCATTTCGTAAGGGGGGTTGTAGAGACGGTAGTGACCAGAGCCATTACAACAAATATCGTGAATGTCCTCTGCGACAAGATCCTTGCCTGAAGGCCAATATTCTATGTTCCCGTCAGTATCAGCGCTGGATAATTATATTGATAGATGTGGCTTACTAGCACAATAAGCTCCACCAAACCCTTGCAGCTCATCAAGACGCCTATTGAGAAACTTTCTCTCCAGACGAGCTTCATCGCCTTAGCTGCGAGTGTACCACCAATAATCTTGCCGGAGAAAGCAACTGCAATGACACCAACGACATAACCCCAAGTTATACCGTCGTTCAAGAGGCCGAGATCCGTGCTTAACCCAGACAAGGCAAAGTAAAGGGGTAAAAGGAGAACTGTGACCAAATCTTCGATCTTCTCGGTCACATGAATAGCGAAACCGCCATCGTGGGGGCAAATCAATCCAACCAAAAAGGCGCCAAAGATGGCATGTACACCAATAATACCTAGAAAGGTCAGACATATTACTTTAGCATTAGAGTCCGAGAAGGTCACTTACTTGTAAACCATGACGAAGTTAGGACCAACAAGATAGTAACAGCGATCATGCCTTGAGTCGGTCCATTCTGTATACTGCCCGTTTTTCTTAAGGCCAAGTGGAAAAGCGGCCTAACAGCAAATACTAAGAACAGAACCCAACCAACAGCAACGAGAAGGACCCAAAGCGCGGCTATGCCAGAGCCGTTATTAACCAATGCGACACAAAGCGCAAGCAAAATCCAGCCGACAACATCGTTGCCAACACCAGCAGCAAGAACCGTAACGCCTACGGGGGTACCGAGCATGTTGAGTTCGGATAAGATACGACATAAAACTGGGAAAGCTGTGATAGCCAAAGCAGTACCAATAAAGAGGGCGTAAACGCCAAAGTTGATGTCTACGGTATTTCCGTCATTATGGAACTGGTTGTACAAGCCCCAAGCGATGGCGCAACCTAAGCCAAAGGGTAAAAGCATACCAGCCAGGCCGACACTTAAAGCAACGCGCCAATTAGCAGTGAACATGCGGATATCGACCTCGAGACCGATGAGGAAGAGAAACAAGATGAGGCCGAGATTAGCGGCATTGTTCAGAACTGGCATAGATTCGGTAGGAAAAATAGCGCTCTTGAAGCCAGGAATGCGAGCCAGAACGGAGGGGCCGAGAAGGATACCACCGATAACCTCGGCGATGACACGAGGTTGACCGAAGAAGGACAACGGGTAGTGAAGAAGACGGCATAGTATGATGATGATACCGGCCTGAATGATAAACAACTGGATAGGATTCGAAGCGATATATGCATTCGGTAAGACGCCTTCCAGGATACCGCCTTGGGGAGCAGGACCGGCGGTGGTGGTGGCAGCGGGAGCAGCAGTGGTCGTGACGGTCGACAGTAAAGTCGCCGTCACGGTCGCGGTTATGGAAGCCATGGCCCGCTCGCGATGATTGGTGGTTCAGTCCACGCGCGACTGAAATGCGGAATCGGAATAGGTAAGATCAGCAAGCTGCAGCAAGCTGCCGAAGCAGCAAGCGGTCAGTCACAAGCAGCCCAAACCAATAATTCCGGTCGGAGGAGGCAGAAGGACGCCGCAAAGAAAATATAGGATAAGTATTTACCAATGTAATATAATAAAGGCGTTGAGGATAGAATTGACTCAAAACAAAGAAGTTGGAGAAAAGAGTCGGGAGGATGATGGATTATAGATTAGGATGATAGGTAGATAATGTTAGGATGAGGTGATCAAGGTCTTTGGCTTAACAAGGGAAGGACCCTTGGCAGCGACCCTTGGCAGCGACCCTTGGCAACATGCACTACCCCTGCTCCGGTCTAGTTCCCTGTCTAGCGTGCAGATAGATGGCCCTAAGTAGCCCTAGCTGTTTAGATTACAGAGCTTGTGACGAAAGAGCTTACTAGCTGCTGGCGGGGGAAGATGACGCTAGCACAGCAGGGTTAGGGGAATGAATAGACCCTATGTATAGGTAGGTAATGGCGGCTGAAGATGCGGGGATAATAAAATCACCTTAGATACGCCTGGGTAACTTATAGATATGTAGGTAATGAAAGATATAGTATATATTCATCTTAGCAAAGATCGTTATTTCATATATAACTACCTTATATATAATTCGTGTTTATATAAAATGTGTAACTACCTCTTATAATCATATGAGTTATGATTACATTACACACCGCCTAAAGTCTCTAGCTTGGCTAGATAAAAGCCCATAGCCAAGTATCTTCACGCGGAGCGCTAACAGCCAACTAAGAGATCATAAGACAATCCGACAACATTGCCAAGTCCCAAGTCCCATAGACACAAGTCGATGAATCAAGAACACACACGATCTGCACATCTTATTATCTTAGTATATCCCTTGACTAATACCTAACGTCAGTCAACTGAGCTCTCGCGAGTCATGATTCACATTCTCGCGTGACATCTCTTACTATGAGAGGTGTAGCAGTGAGCAGCTATCCGCCTATATGTACCTAAGTTATCAATTACGTTAGGTTAGGTAGTTATCAATCAATAGAGAGCTCCGAGTCCCGGGACAATGGTTACCAATGGCTGGCCGTGTACGGAACGGACGGAACGGAGAATATAATATATCATGCGTCAAAATTCAGCCCTATAGGAGCAAAGCAGATTGCCTATAAGTGGACAAATACGTGTGTCCAATATTCTAGCCATATGTACCTTTGACCTATGCAAATATTCATATTTACTACCTGCTCTATTCTTTCCAGACCACGATCTAGTAATGGTCTCTATACTGTGAATACCTCTACTAGTTAACTGTAGAGAATGGGCTCTTACCATTCTTCAAAGATTGATCCTGCTATTCCGGTTATATGGGCACTACACATCCATTGCTATAATTACTACCTAACCTATGGTATTATATGGACTTGTAGTGAAATAATCCACACAAACAGTTGACTTAGGTTCTGGATGGGTTTGTTGGTATTGATATCAACGTCATCGAGATCATGAGTGCTCTTAGGCTCTTACCTGCCTCCCAACCCCAACCCCAACCCAAACCATCTCACTAGAGGTCTCATAGTTAATTTACGAAATCGATTCCTCAAGGTACAATCGCTGCGCAACTGATGGGTATACGTGCGCCGTCGCATAGCTTCCGCCTGCACGTATCGAGATTATATTGAAACCAAACTATCATATTTTGCTTCTCCTCGTGATGAATGACTCATGAGCATAAACGGCCATGGTTTTACGTCGTTACCTATTTCTCGATGCGTACACCCGCCCAAAATTAGGTTAAAAGTGATAAGCGCAGTTTTCGAATGAACCCGGCTAAGGCCTACTGCAAAGGGGGTGTTAGAGAAATGTTCTCGGACCTTTAATCCCTCGGTATGTTAAGAGGGTATAGAAACGTCTAGAATTTTACCTGTAAACTTCACCTTAGCGTAGGCATACCACTACTTAAATACGACGTTTACATATTACTACCTGGCCGAAGATAAATAAATTTGAGGTAGCTGGCTTGTCCATGCATGCATCCAGGAGAACATTGATAGACGCCTTAAGATACTCGATCTTAATATAAGATGCCTAAGCGACGGCATACATGTATATACCTTAAAGAATGTTACGTATATAGATCAATATTTAAGTACCTAATTACCTTTCGCTGCTACCTGGGGACCGTGGCTTAGAGGCAGGTGTATTAAATAAGGCCTAGCAGAGGCGCCAACGTGTATCTAAACGCTGTTTGCGGGTGTATTGAAACCGCTCTCGATTAACACGACCTGTACACCGTTGGATTGGCGGCTTGGTTTAGTTGGTATCGGAATGAATTTACAGTTCAACATCTTAAGAGATTAATGGAACTAGTCCTCGCTATACGATTTAGAAACAGCGAGGACTTCTCGCGTGTATTACGAACGAAGCTTTGGGCTTTGGATATTTAGATATGAGTCAACTCACGAGTTTCATATTCATAGCCACCTCCAATCGCCTAGCTTATACGAGGCTATCTTTACCTTCGTGCCGTGATCCGGCAATTACGACGAGAGGCAATTGGATAAGGTGTCCTTTTCGATAAGTTGAGTATGCGTAGGTAGGGTGGGTGCGCAGGAGGCTCGTCATTGCTTAGACGATCTAACGGTTTCGAAGAGAGGGTCGATGTTAATATTCCCAGACCGTTCCTTACCGTTACTGCGCTAAATGACGATAGGCATCGAGCGTTGACCTCAACACATGCAGAAACAAGGGGGCGCTCTTGCTACAAACTCAGGTAGAATAGACCAGGGAAGTCATATTCTGGCTTGTTCTCTCCTTACAAAAACCCCTTCCCCCCCTCTCAAGACAGACCCAAACTCCCCAGAAAGTCTTCTTAATTTCTCATCTTCCATTGCGAGTCAAGCAACGAGGTGAAAACATACAAACTAGCTAAAAACTAGCTTTGCTTCGTTCATATACTTAGGTGTGTCTACCATTATTGTTCTTGAATCCAGTAGCCTGTCTATTACACCATAGACACTTATCCACTCAGCTACTCATTTCATTCTAGTCAACAGAAACAACTTCTATTCCACGATGCTACCTATTCGTCAGGCCACGCTGGTTGGCCTGGGCCTATCCGCCTCGGTGCTAGGTGCTATTCTACCCACCGTCCAAAACGATCCCAACTACTGTATTGTTGGACATACAACTTGCAATGAAGACTACGTCTACCACTGCGATTCTAACAACAAATGGATGGCCAAGGAAAAGTGTGTGTATCCGTCTTGGTGCAATGCCGAGGCTGATGGTACCGTTGTAAGTATAACTGACTTGATTATTTCCCTAATTTGGATCTCTCTGAATCAGAACTCCATTATCAAACGGGGATGGATTAACGCATCTAAGATACTACTGGGGCCTTTTTGTGTATTCTCAAAGAAGCAATTACTGACTCTCGTTGTCGAAGGGATGTGTATCGGACACCGGATTGAAGCGCAACACCCCGGTGGACTCATCTGTTCACACTTTGACTCCGACTCCTACCAGTGGATACTCTCCCTCTCATATCAACTGTAGGGAGGCTCAATTGCGCTGTAACGGGCGCTGGGAGGAGATTTGCAACGGGTTTGGCGTGTGGGAGAAGTGGCGGCAATGCGCTGAGTGCTTTAGCCAAGTTGACGGCAAAGTCGACTGCATCCCTGACACTTCCCTTCCGTCGCCTGAGCCCACGCCAACCTTTTGCAAGAAGGACCAGCTCCGATGTAATGGAAATTGGGAGGAGATATGCGACAATGACGCCGAGTGGCACCGCTTGATGAAGTGTGAAAACTGCAGTGAAGACGAAGCCGGCGCCATAATTTGTGTGCCTTATGTGGATCTGCCACCCGAGCCGACTCATCCACCTCAATGCCTAGAAGGTACTCTACGCTGTGATGGTAATTGGCTTGCTCTCTGCAATGCGGACCTCTCGTGGCAGCGCATACAGAAGTGCCGCGAATGCGTTAGTGACACTGACGGTCGGCCCTTCTGCGACAACATACAGTTACCTACCAGTAGCAGCAGCTCATATAAGGTCATGCCGACAACTTCGTCAACTCCGGCTAAATCGGATCCAACTACTACATCGATTCCGGCTACGTCAGCTCCAACTACTACACCAGCTCCAACTACTACATCGGCTCCAATAACATCGGCTCCAACAACAGCAACCCCGGGAATTGTGCTAGGCATACCCGTCATGTCAACTCCGGCTCCACGTTCACCTGAGGCCCGTATGGCTCAGGATAACCCGTGCTTCGGCGGTGAAGTGCGCTGCAGCGGAGACCGTGTCGAGGCATGTGACGCGGAGCACGTGTGGCAGGACTTTGGACCCTGCCCTAGCTGCAAGCAGCTTTACAACACCCGCGTAAAGTGCGATTATGACGAGTTTGTGATGGGTGATGACCCCATTTACCGAACTGTCTTAACTTAGGACTGCGAGCCAGGTTGGCAGCAGTGTGCCCATGGCAACACAACCGTCGAGGCCTGCACCCATGACGGCAGATGGGCTACTGTTGAAGCATGCTCGGCTGAGGAGATGTGCCTAGGGATGTTTGAGGGGATGGCATTCTGTCTTGCGAAGGATATTGCTGAATCCGAGATGGCCAAGTATAACTAGGTCTACTCGATATTGGTTCGAATCATGAATTCGGACTGTGGATTGAGGCGTGACGAGGTTGGTGAATAGTGATTATCATTCATTTAATAGTTAGTAGTAATAGTTAGTAGTAATAGTCGAAGTAGTAGTATCGTATTGTTAATGCATATCCTTACCCCTCACCTCCTCATCTCCTTACGTACTAAAATAATCGCCGTGGTGAAAGCTTCGCGTTATCTTGGTGAGCTCCTGCTCGAGGACAATAGACTACCTATATATATCTCAGCCCAGACGCATGCATTAGCGCAGTAACATCAGAGCGCCCATGTCCTCCCTCACCCTAAGATGACTTAAGAGACAGCGTCTTTCTTCTTTGAAGGTATTGAGCTTCTTGCCTCCCATCCGTAAAACATCGCGCTTCGCTTTAACTACATTCACATATACTAAATATCAACAAGAATTTGTGTTTCTAGTACCAAGCTTAATAAGTTGACTTGCTTCTCAAGCTCTTGCAGGACCATATTAACTCTCAAGGAGTTTCGTCTAAAACGGCTTGCCCTTATAATCCTTAGGGGCTAAGATGACGTTGTAGTCCAGCTCGAGCTTCGCTTTGTCGTCGCCTTCTAGGGGTTTGAAGTCGACCACCAGGTCGTCTTTTACGGCAAACACGGTGTCGGATGATAGCCAGGGGTCGTCTTTGGGGTATAATTGCGTTGTGCAGCCCTTGTATTCGGGGTGTGTGACCTATGGCAGATATTTGTTAGAAACGGAAGATAAGAGAGAATGAGAATGCTGGCTAGAAAGAACATACCATAATGTGAATGTGTGCCGGACGCATCGGGTGGCGATCCATCATCTGAAGTAGCTGGTAGGACGGGCCGTCCGTGGGCAGCGAGTAGGCAGTCGGATAGTAGCAGTAAAACCAGTACTTGCCGTTCTCGTCGGCGCGGAACTTGCCGCGCAGGTTGTTCGGCGTCTGGTTCTTGGGGTCTTGGAAGTCGTACTTGCCGTTGGACGAGGCCTGCCAGATATCGAAGACGGCGCCGGGGATCGGCTTGCCCGTGACTAGATCGCTGATGACGCCGTGCATGAGGACGACTTGGCCGTTCGGCGCCGGGTCCTGGATTATGGTTCCGCCGTTCTCGCGGAAGGGCGCGTTGGGCGACCAGAAGGGTCCGAGGATGGCCGAGGATGTCGGGTCCACGTCTGTTTCGGAGACGATCTTGTGGGCAATTTCATCAACCAGCCTAATACAATTACATATTAGTTCACGGCCATACACGATTTGGTGCAATTCTAATCGGTAAGACATACGTTTCGAGTCCGAGAATATCAGACAATCGATGGGCCTCGTTTCTCGTCTGTCCCGACTCCGAGTAAACCCGGCCGACGGCGTTGATATAACTGACGCCGGCCAACCATTCGTCAATTGTGAGCTCTGTTTCTCGAGCAAAGTCGTGAATGTGTCGGATCAGCGCTGACAAGAGAACCCGGTTCCTCTCGGTGGTCTTAGGGCCCATAGTATCGATGACATGCTGGGTGAAGGTAGGATCGAACCGGGAATGTTTGGGAGCTTGTGCCGCATTGGACACACCAGTAGCTTCGGGAGCCATCTTGAGAGCTTTTCTTGATTAATGCGAATACGAAGGGATGGTAGGGTTAGCTAGCGAAGGTGGGATTTCTATGTCTGGATGCGTATGAAATTATTGGTAGAAATATATATAGAAAGAGAGGGAGAAGATGTATTGTTTGTATATACGAAACTGAAGTCAGAATAAGGCCTAGATATATTTTACACAAGGACACAAGACTAGAATGAGACACCTAGTATCATGGGACGAAAGCCATCGGTAGAACAGTGTTTATTTAAGCTTTTGCCATTAGCTGTTCCATTGTATGAGCAATGGATTTTCTTTGATAGGTCGGTCCCTGAAGACTCGGAAACCCCGCCGTTCTTCAATAAGGGGTCCTATATGTGGATTGGATCGGATTGAGTTCACGGCAGCCAGATGAAACCTCCTTGTCTATCGGGTGATATATTGCCCTTAGGAAGGCAGGTATTGAATGTGCTTCTGGAACTCCAACACCAACTCGAATCGCGTGCACCCGGGGTTTTATGGGAATATGTAGCGGCATACATGAACGGCCGCTACACGATTTAGGGATAGGTAGTAGTTCCTCAATACCCCAACTAAGGGTTGCTTTCGCTAGAGGCATCCTTGGTGATGTCACATGCTGGTGCTCATGTCAATTCGATGTTAAGACATCGACGAGCTTGACTGTCTTTTCTCCTTTGACGGAGGGGCTACACCTCTTGACTAAAGACTCGCGACCCCATTAAGACTCAAGGCCTAGCAGCGTTGTACGACCTCTCGAGCTGCAACATAGCGGGGAAATCTGGCGATGAGGCGTTTATCCGGCATTGCAGCGTGGCAATTGGAGATTCAGCATGTAGCCATCCACTCGGTAGCTATCGAATTAACCCGCCTGCCGTGGTCATCTACCGCCACTGGTGCCGATTATGTGAATGAAAACGTGGTTTACTGTGTACAAGCTTATAGATTCTTCCCCACATCGAGGTGCCATACCTATGTAGGTGGGCAATAGTTGGAAAATGGTGTAAGAGTTCGCATGCGTACGGATCCGTAAAGAGGGGCGATATATCGCTAAGTAGATGCGGGGATAATCAGAGTACTTTGTCCGAGCTTGCTGGTTGGTCCCAAAGTGAGGTATGTACCATGCATTGGAGAATATGCGGTGCAACGACCAGCTTGGGTAGGTAGTCTGTATAGTTGGGGAACAACTCTAACCCTATCCGAATCCTCATTGACTAATGCTACTTCAGGTAATTGTCTTGTTATCGTGATCGAGGGTTCGAAACTCAAATTCACTTCTCTATCCGGGTAATTTGTCAGGTCGCGATTAAGATCGTTTCTACGCTCGTCCCACGGTAAGGTCGAATAAAGGATGCCGACTCATCACTTGATGATAGGAACGTGGACTCCACCCGGAGCCATATTCACTGTGGCTTTTGACGATGAGAAATTGACATTAGAGCTGGTGAAGAGAACCGAGATCCCTCATGACGAACCCATCTCTTGGATGACTTTCGATGTAAGTCAAACCGTCTAGGTTCAGCTGAGGTCAATCAATCTCCCGAATGCTCACATGTTGTTGGTTGTCTTAGCATGCCAAGAAGAACATATACGGCGCGGCCATGAAGAAATGGTCCAGCTTTTCTGTCAAGAGTCCAACCGAGATCGTCCACCAAGCCTCGCATTCGATGAACCACGACCGTAAGTTTCGCATTGGCCTGTCAGCCAACCTACCCGGTGATTGACCCGTGATCTTGCGCACGTAGCTCAAGCAAGCCTGGCCACTACCAATACTCGCGCCATCTTTCTGCTCGCCGCAAAGCAACCCCCATACGCCGTTTACTGCAATCCGTTCTATTCACATGCCGGTCATGGCTCCGTCTTCTCCGTGTCGTCGAGTGGCGCTCTCGATAAGGATATACAACATTATCCATACCAACCCAATACGGGTATTCACGGTATGGTATTCGACCCAACGGAAACCTACCTGTACGCGGCCGACTTGAGAGCCAACAAGCTATGGGTACATAAGAAAGCAGCGTCGGGAGAGGTTGACCTTGTGGGAAGTGTTGATGCGCCGAATCCAAAAGACCACCCGCGGTGGGTGGCCATGCATCCGTCGGGCAATTACTTATATGCTCTGATGGAAGCTGGAAATCGACTTTGCGAATACGTTATCGATCCGGCAACGCACATGCCCGTTTATACGCACCATTCGTACCCGTTGATCCCGCCGGGAATACCTAAGCATGATACCATGTACCGCAGCGATGTTTGCGTCCTCACTAAGTCGGGCGACTATCTATTCGCGACGAGTCGAGCCAATAGTTTCGACCTACAGGGCTACATTGCGGTTTTTCGTTTGCGGGACTGCGGATCAATCGAGAGACAGATCTGCTTAAATCCTACACCTACGAGCGGCGGCCATAGCAATGCAGTGGCACCATGCGATTGGAGCGATGAGTGGTTGGCGATTACAGACGATCAAGAGGGATGGGTTGAGATCTATAGGTGGAAAGATGAGTTCCTAGGCCGCGTCGCAAGATGTCGGATTCCGGAGCCAGGTTTTGGAATGAACGCCATATGGTATGACTAGATGACTAGGTAGGTATGCATGTATATATGAGATGTACGCGGTTATATACCTAGTCAAATGCCGTGTATAAGACAGGTAGGTAGGTAGGTAGTTAGTATACATCGTTGATGGTGATCAGGCGTAAAAAGACGATGTGATGATTGATAACTGAGATATTTTGTACTTTTGGTAGGTACATTAGGTAATTTAGGTACATGCATTGTTCAACGTTGCAGTTAAGGCAGGTAAGCTAAGGGTAGCTGCAGCCCAATACGCCAATAATATGCTAATACGCATAGTAACAATATTTGCTTATCGAGTTCTCATCATCTATTGGGCTAAACTTCGTCATCGGAGCTCAATTCGATTTTTCCATCCGTCCAACACAAACTGTCGCGGGTGCAACCGATCTTCTTCTTCTTCTTCTTCTTCTTCTTCTTCTTATTTATTACTTATTATTATTCACCGTTGCGAGCCCTCGATGGATGGCATGGTCCTTTGACCATAGTCGTTAAATATATACCCCATCCATTGACATTTCAAGCTGGGCAAATTTAATTGGTAGTGCGATCCCAAGTCTTGGACTGCTTGGCTGAGGCGACGCTTTGAAGGCTACCGGAACAACGGCTAACTGCCTGTCTCAAAAGGCAACCCTTCTATTCCTAACAACTTTCTCGTAGTACCTTTCGATCAATTGATAAACTGCGCTGGTCCGAGTCAAGTTCGAAGCCGTCTTAGGCAGTAGTATACCTCAACCAATCGACTTAACCTCGCGAGGTTAACGGCAAGCATGGGGAACGAAGGCATCCTTCGCGCCCGTACAATTGTACTTAGCCTATCCAGAGCCCTCTTCCTCTCAGTCGGCCTCACATCCGCTATTCCAACATCTTATCACGCTCTCGACAATGTTCTCGACAATGTTCTCGACAATGCTCCCGAAAAAACCGAAGAAGGCGCCCTCTGGGTGCTTTACATCGCGTCCATGATCCTTGTGCTCTCAGGAGGTGCCTTTGCCGGTTTGACCATAGCACTCATGGGTCAGGATGAGATCTACCTTCAAGTAATATCTTTAGATGCTGAGGAGCCCCAACGAAAGAACGCAAAACGTGTTCTTGATCTCTTAAATAAAGGCAAACACTGGGTCTTGGTGACGTTGTTGTTGTCCAATGTTATTGTCAATGAAACCCTTCCCGTCGTGCTAGATAGGTGCTTTGGCGGTGGTGTTGCGGCTGTTGTTGGAAGTACTATCCTGATCGGTAGGAATCCTTTAAAGTCGTCTTTGTAAACCTTATAATTTTGCTAATATTTATCCACTGTAGTAATCTTCGGCGAGATCTTGCCACAGTCTGTTTGTGTTCGCTACGGTCTTCAGATCGGCGGGTATATGTCGAAGCCCGTGCTTCTGATGATGTACCTATTCGCCCCCGTTGCATGGCCTACCGCAAAGCTCCTCGACTGGTTATTAGGTAAAGACCATGGAACTGTATATAAGAAAAGCGGGTTGAAGACGCTGGTCACGCTTCATAAATCTCTAGGCGAAGTTGGCGAGCGTCTAAACCAAGACGAAGTTACCATCATCAGTGCTGTCCTAGATCTGAAACGCAAGCCTGTCGAGGAGGTTATGACGCCAATGGAGGATGTCTTTACTATGTCGGAGGATACCGTGTTGGACGAAAAGACTATCGATCAAATTCTCGACGCCGGCTATTCTCGCATCCCCATCCATCAAACTGGAAACCCGACGAATTTTGTTGGCATGCTCTTGGTCAAAATCCTCATCACCTATGATCCTGAAGATGGTAAACGAGTCAAAGACTTTTCTCTCGCTGCCCTCCCCGAGACCCGACCTGAAACTAGTTGTCTTGATATAATCAACTTTTTCCAGGAAGGAAAATCCCACATGGTACTTATCTCAGAGTCTCCGGGTGAAGGTCATGGTGCCCTAGGTGTCGTGACGCTTGAAGATGTGATTGAAGAGCTTATCGGAGAGTAAGCAATTTCCCTATGGTTTTTATTTCTGACCTGCCACTCACAAGCCAAATTTAGGGAAATCATTGACGAGTCGGATGTATATGTCGATGTGCATAAAGCCATCCGTAGATCTCATCCCGCCCCTAAAGCTCGAGCTTTGCGGAGGGAACTTATGGCTAAGGACCTTGAGATCAGGAATAGCACGCTTATCGACATAGATGGAGACGGACAAGAGCCTCAGCCTAAACGGGGTACGTCGATCAGCAGCAAGACGGACGCTTCTGCTCTCGGTTCTAGCCCAAAGATGACAACGTTGCTGATGCGAAGACGTTCGGCCGGTCAAGACGGACAACTGCTGCACACTATGGTACCAGTCAAAGCCAACTTCGAGGAAATGAGGGATCACCTGAAGCATCTTGGCCCATCGAACCCTGCATCAAACCCCAAGAGCACACGAGTTTCGGCAGTTAAACTTAAACCCGGCTCATCAGCAGCTACTAGCGCCCGGCAACGTTCAACTTCTATTACGACAGACGATATCGCAGAAGATCTAGTTACGGTTGTGGATGAACGCACAAGTTTATTAGGATCTCAGCTCAACGCAAAAGATGGCACACATGCCCTACAACAGAGTTACACCGAATCACCTTCTAATCCCCCACCCGAGATCGTGACCAGTTTCGAAGGCGAGGGTTCCGAGCAAGTGACCAAAGGTACACAGACTAAGCTCAGTGTCATAGCCGAAAGTGATACCTCGCCGACACAGGAATCCACGACAGAAAGTATAGAGAGTGTATATGACGCTATTGGGCGGAGAAGAGGCCACGTGCGTAGTGGCAGCATTACCGAAAATATAATCGAATCTGGTGGTATTCGCAAAGTCATTCTCGAGGCTAACGACACATCGTCGGGCGACGAAGGACAGAAATCAATCATACCTACGCCGTCTGATGAAGATGGAACGTCTTCCACCGTCACTGTCACTGTCGCCACCAAAGGCAATAAAGGGAAAAAGAAAAATCGTCGCAAGAATAGGAATGGAGGGAAGTAGAAGCATTATGCTAGCGCGAGGGGATACGGCCTAATATTATTTTAGTATCACGGCGATTATGCAACATTATATGACTGCATAATTGCCCAAGGTAGATTGGTTTGGTCTCAGGACCTCGAATATCGGCAATCAGGTCCCCATAGTATCCATCTATCCAGCCTAGCCTGTGTAAGATCATCTCGGATTGTTAGTTGGCACCGACTATGTAACACTACCTATTATAATAAAATGTAATCTACGGAATCATCAGAGTTCTAAAGGTTGAAGGCACGCTTAATATTACCATTTCTTAAATGAAATTTTACAACTTCAAATAGTGCGTTTTGTACACTACTTGACCTAAACTCTACACCCTACACTCCGTTGGATGAAGAAAGGGTTAAATCAGATAGTAGCATCCATAGCCTTAACTACCTATACCTAAGCCTTGAAATTGGATATTCCGAAGCCGGTAGCCGGCGAGCTCCGTGGAACCCCCCCGCCGATAACACTTGGGCGTAAGCAGCCTCTGCCGGAGGCTTTAGAGTTAGATTCCAGTTAGATTCCTTGAGACTACGGGGTCTTCTCTAGAAAACTCTAGTTTTAACCACATATCGAGCTAAAGATATTTGGTCCAAGTAAAAGTAGGTAACTTTTATATTTTTGGTTTGAGGATATATCGCGACGATGACCACCAATAAACCCACTGCCCAGTTTAAAATTCCAACGATCGATATATCCCCATTCCTTGAAGACCCGACATCAGCAGCATCTGCTGAAGTCGTTGAAAATGTGCGGCAGGCCTGTGTCACAAGCGGCTGTAAGTCACCACTAGGAACGGCTATTTGTATCAATTTCATTTCTATCGACAATAGTCTTTGATACGATTAAATACCGGATCTATCCGTATTTAATAGACTCATGAGGCTTAAGGGTAAAGAAAACAGTTAATAACTCTACTCATTTTAGTCTTCCAGATCGTTAACCATGGCGTGCCCAAAGAGCTAAGAGACGCCGTCTTCAAGGCTGCAGAGACCTTTTTCGCCCTTCCACTAGAAGACAAGAAAAAGATGCGACCTCCAGTTCTAAAGAACAGGGGCTATGAATTAATGGGCGCCCAGGTAAGTGGTTAGAATTGGAGCCTTTTCGTTTAATCTATCCCGTATCAGAGTATTTTCCAATATAGTTATCACATAGAACTAACGTTAGACTTCGGATGGAAATAGGCCTTACAAGAAGATACTCTTCCCGATCTCAAAGAGGTAAGCCACTCGATGAAAATTTTACGTCTGTAATACCTGGTTAGCCTCTATCCTGTGCTTTACTACAGGATAGTAACTGATTACTACTACAACTCGGCGCACAGGGTTTCTTCATCGGGCAACATATAGCCAGCGATGATCCGCGGTCACAAGCGCATCCATACTTAATTGGCCCAAACATCTTCCCAGAAGGACTCCCCGACGAAGCGTTAAAAATCCCTACGGAAACCTACTACTCCGCCGTCTTCGAGTTGTCGTGTAAGGTTATAGAAATTCTCGCTCGGGGCCTACCCTATGGCGATGACGTCTTTGTACCGTTCATCTCGAACGATCCAGTTTGCGCCCTCCGGCTATTACACTACCCGCCGCAAAATTCGACGGATGAGCGTCAGCTCGGAGCTGGAGCGCATACGGACTTTGGTAAGTCCCCCCTATTTATCCCCCTTTGCAAGTTTCCATATAGCTATATAGTAGATAGGACAAGAATCCTAATTTTGCTCTCCTATATTCGTTAGGCGCAATTACACTCTTGCTACAAGACGGCTCCGGTGGCCTCGAGGTCCTGGACCATTCTACCAATACGTGGATTGGCGTGGATCCTAACCCGGATGCTTATGTGGTCAACATCGGCGACATGCTATCGCTATGGACTAAGAACGTGTATAAGAGCACTGTACACCGTGTTGTCAATCGTAGCGGTAAGGACCGATATTCGGTACCGTTCTTCTTTGACGGCAATACCGACGTTGAGTTGAGTCCTTTTGATGGGAGCGAGCCTACTGCTGTTGGCGCTGATGGTAAGGCCCTGACGGCCGAGGAGCATATGCTTGAAAGGTATGGGACTACGTATGGACGGGTAGCAAAGGGAGCCACGGTTGTTGTTTAGGAGGGTTGCTGTGGAAGATTGTATGTTTCGATGTAATTGAAAAGGGGCACTAGGAAGGGAGGTAGGTTATATTGAATTATTTTCTCAGAACTTCCGTAAATGACATGGGTATGGTGTCATCTATTTAGTTTTATAGCGTTTGTCTTCTTCGAGTCAAAGTGTTGAAATTACGAAACTATGACTCAAACGGGTGATGTTGAAGAACAACTGCTTTACTTTCTTAAGCATTTTCAGTCTTTGTCATGCTTGGGGAATGACTGCTTAGTAATACGGTACACGCAGATATTAACTTTGATAGCTGAGGTAATATGACGGACCTGTGCATACTCATGTTACCCAAATATCATGCACAGCAAATTTTAAGTTTGCTGGGGACAGGGATAAAGATACATACGCTTTAAAGCATATATACAAATTCTCGGGTTTCGTCCTTGTCGACCCTCCGCAAAATTCTTTTTCCAACTCCCTCTTCCACACCGGCACGCGCTGATTTGATCCTTTCAACTCGAAACCTTTTCCCGTCTCCGAGAATTGGCATTGATTTTCGAATCGCCGACTTTCGCGCAGAGCCCTGGAAAATCTAGGACCGAGGAACAAAAGTCTGGGTTAAAAATAAAAAAAAGACACATCGGCTATTCAGGTTCTTCCTCCTCCGCTTATGGGCAAAACCGGAATTCGTCTATCTATTTTCCATCCCCATATTATTGGAACTTGCTGCTGGTACGTCTGATCTGATTTTAAATGAGTTTCTTTTTTTCTTTTGACCATCTCTCTGGTCGCATTTCAATATGGGAGCTTCTATACCTGCTGCGCCCGCGCCGGCGTTGCTATATATCAATAGCTTTACATAGGCTTGAATAGTCTTGGATTAGATCTCAAGACGCATTTTTCATACTCCTGTTCATCACGACTGGTGCTGTCGCTATGTAATTCTAACGTTCCTCTGTCCGCAGGTAACGAAGCAATATAGACCACTACACTGCGCGACTTTGTCTTCTACCTGTCGCAAGTGCATTGTTGCCATCTTCGGCGGGGGATAAGAGGCAGCATCCTATTTTATTGCAGTTGCGTCGATTTGCGCCTAAGTTTGTTTTTAGCGCAAGTAATATCGCATTGTGTGAAGGATCGCGTTGTCACCCGTCCTGTAGACCCCGACGCGTCTAAGAGCGACTAGTCACGATGCCCGACATAGATCCCATGCTCGAAGACTCGAAACCCGAAATTCGGGACGAGACCGTTGACATACAACAATATCCCGTGTCCGCGACGAACGGCCAAGATAGTACGGCAGTTTATAACGACTTAAATTCGGATCATCAACAAGCACAACCCGAGAATGTCGAACCCTCCACCCCTCGTCAACAAGATGTCCGCCCGTCCATTACAAGTGCCGAAGAGCTGCAACTTGCCGCTCAGCTTAGCCAGGGTCTTAGTCAAGGCATGCCCACACTACCTCTCGATCCTAGTGAAGACTCGAACCTTCAAAACGTGATAGCTCAGTCCGATGCCCACGAATCTCACCTCCAGCAACAGGATGACCAAATGCAGCATGATCAGATACCAGAACATAATAATCATATTGAGAATCATATTCATGAACATCATAATGACCAATTGGCCCATGATGATCACCCCATGGACACCCACGACCCTTCTATTGGCCATAATGAACAGCACCTACAAGATCAACATCCGCAACATGAATACTTACCTGAGCAGCACCCACAGGAACACCACCAGATGCACTTAGCACCGCAGCAGCCGCACCCGCATCAGCATCAGCAACCCGCACAAATACAGCCACAGAGCACAATGGAGCAGTTGGCACAACACTACGCAGCCCAAGCTTCGGCTATACCGGACGGTATCCCGCCGAGGAAGAGGTCCAAAGTGTCTCGCGCTTGCGATGAGTGTCGTAGGAAAAAGGTGAAGTGTGATGCCGTTTCGGAAAACGGTGAAGAACCATGTTCCAACTGCCGTCGCTCAGCGATTCGTTGTCTTTTCAGCAGAATCCCACAGAAGCGTGGCCCAAGCAAAGGATATATCAAAGAACTGGCAGATCGAATACACCACATCGAAGGCAAATTAGCGAGCGAAGGAGGTAATGTGGATAGCCTAAGTGAGCTTTTGAATGGTGCCAGAAGAGAGTCGGCCGATCTCTTTGGCACACCTGCACAGCCAGAGGAGAATAGTCGTAAAAGACCGTATTCAAACATGTCCGGCGAGTTTACAACACCCACGAATTCGCGCCAGGCAACATGGAGTTCGGAACCACGACCGATCCAGCCTTACCAGACCCCCTCCGGAAATTTCAGAGCACCTCCGTATTCTGCTAATGGATTGGCGCCTCAGCCTTTGTCCAAGCCCGATGCAGATACACCTCCCCGTCCAGCTGCTGTCATAGATACAACACCGCTTGACCTCAACCATAATGGCACAACTCGTGAACTAGACGAGAGTGCTTTCAGTGGTTATCTCAATGTAGTTCATCCATGCTTTCCTTTACTCGCAGCAAGCAAAACTCGCGTTGAAGGTCAATTAGCGCAGTGCCCACCTCTCCTCCGTGATGCGTTCGTTGAGGCGCTTTATGGTACTATGCAGTCTTTTGTTTCAATACCTGGTTTATATACCAATGTCGACATTGGCTCCGGTACACGGATGATAACGGAGTGGGAATCCGACCAGACTCCTCGTACATCGGTCATGAACCTTGTGCATCTTCAAACACTGATACTAACGGCCCTTGCAACTGATAATTACGGCCCGCCGTCGCTGAAGGGCGAACATGGAGGCCCGTCTAAAGCGTCAGTTCTGGGACGCGCTGTAGGTCTAGCCTATTCGATGAGGCTTCACGTTTCGGGTCTAGAGGCGAGTGTCGATGCTCCTCTAGAATCCGATTCAAATGAAAACATCGCAACTCGAGCTTGGTGGACGTTGATTATGTTGGATCGCTGGAATGCTATTGGGACTGCAAGTCCGTTGTTCATCCCGAACGACAGCGTGGTTATTCTGCCTAGCCTACAGTCGGTCCTCGGCGAAAATGTGTACCACTTAGCGCGTAAGTATATCGAATATATTACAGGGTCTAAAGCTAACGGTGATAGGGTTGTCGAACATTTTGGGCCACTTTGCACCGGTTGCCTTGGCTCCTCCTAAGGTTCTGTCTCCTGACTCAGGTGCTGCACCTATCTTGAGTTCTTTCTTCAACCTTTCCATAGAGCTCTTCCGAGAGATTCTTCCTCAAAGCATCACGCCGGCCTCTCATCCCGTACTGCACATGGTTTACT